GAGTTCGTCTATTCCTCCCCATGCTCCCTCTCCCTACCCCACTAGGAATCAGTCTCCTTATATCAGAGAAAACATTTGGCATTGGTTGTTTTTCGGATTGGCTAACTTAGCATTATCTTCTYTAATACCATCCATTTACCTGCAAATGCCAAGGTTTTATCCTCTTCTGTCGCTGATTAATATTCCATTGTGTATATATGCTACTTTTTTGGTATCCATTTATCTACTGAAGGGCATCTAGGTTGGCTCCACAGTTTAGCTAGTGTAAATTGTGCTGCTATAAACGTTGATGTGGCTTGGACGCGCATCTCTTGATGTGCATCTAAGTTTCTTTATTCAGCTGTACAAAGCTATATTTTGTTAAGTTTCTTGAGTGCATAGCTTTCTTTCCCCCTATCAAATCTGAAAACTTACCGACCGTTATTTCTTTGACTATTTTCTCTTCTGTTTCTTTCTGACCCCTCCTTCTAGTGATCCCATTATGCAGATGAGTGTGGGCTGACTGGTGTCCATGTTTCTCTGAGGTTTTGCTCATTTCCTCCATTTTTATTATGTCTCTGCTCTTTGTATTTCATAATATTTACTGACTTATCTTCAAGTTCACTGAATTCTTTCTTCTGTCAGTTCAAATCTATTGCTGAGTCCCTCTAGTGAATTTTTCATATTATTATGTATTTTTAGCTCCAGAATTYCCATTTGRTTCTTTTTWAAAMAAATAATCTCTCTGTCTTTATTGCCCTTCTCAATTTGACAAGAAGTTGTCACGGTACCTTTTTCACTTTTTTATAAACCTGATTCCCTTTCGTTCTTGAAGGGGTGGATAGTGGCTGCTTGGACATCTTTGTTAAATCCCAACTCTGGCCCATCTCTCAGGCAATTTCTGTTGCCCCCACCCCCCACTTTATATGGGACACATTTTCCTGTTTCTTTGTGGGCCTCGTGATTTTTTTAAAAAATTGAAATCTGGACATTTTAGGTAATATATTGTTGGAACTCCGGAGACTGTTTCTCTCTTCTCTCTGTGGTTCATTTTTTTTATTGTTGTTGGTGTATTTATTTGTTTAGAGACTTGGCCGAGCTATTTTGTGAAGCTTCTGAGGTCACCGAGTGCAGCCGTGGGCACAGGCACAGTTGTCCTGGGATGCCTGGYTTTGCTGTCTCTCTTGGGTGGTCTTTCTCTGATCTCCTGGCTAAGCTGCCTGTCTCTKCGAGTAGCACATACAGATTTTAGCTCCATTCATCTCCATCTGATTGCTCTATTGTTGACGGTGTCTTGGGAGATAAACTGCCTTGTACAATCCAACTATTATTTTTTATTATTTTTATCTTCCATCTTTCAATTTTTTTCCAGCTGTGTTAGGGAATAACGGGTAAATAAAAAAAAGTGTATATTTAAGGGGTTCATCGTGATGTTATGCTGTGTGCTATGAGACAATCACCATGATTAAGTTAGTTAGCACCACCCATCACTTCACATAGTTTTTATTTAGTGTGTGATAAAAACCCTTAACATTTAATCTCTTGAAAGACTTCAAGTGTGCCATACAGTATTATTAACTATAGTGCCCAGCTGTATAAGACCCCCGGAACTTATTCATCTTATAAGTGAAAGTTTGATATTTTGACCAAAATCTTCCCCATTCTCCTCCCAAGTGCCTGGCAACTACCCTTCTGTCCTCAGGGTTTTTTTTTTTTTGGTACCAGGGACTGAACCCAGGAGCATTACTCACTGAGTGACACCCCTTGTCCTTTTAATTTTTATTTTGCTAAGTTGCTTAGGGCCTTGCTAAGTTGCTGAGGCTGGTCTCGAACTTGCAATCCTCTTGCTGCAGCCTCCTGAGTCACTGGGATTAAAGGTGTGTGTCACTGCACCTGGCTTACTTTCGGTTTTTATGAGTTCAACTTTTTTGGACTTCACMTATAAGTGAGATTTGTCTTTCTCCGTCTGGCTTATTTTACTTAGTATAATTCCCTTTAAGTCCATCCATGCTGGCCTACATGGCAGGATTTCCTTTTTAAAGAGTGAATAATATTCCACTGTGTGTGTGTGTGTGTGTGTGTGTGTGTGTGTCTGACATTTTCTTTATCCCTTTATCCATTGATACACAGTGTTGTTTCCATGTCTCCGTTATTGAATAATGCTGCAATGAACATGGGAATTTGGCATCTGTAGATTTTAAAGTCCAGACTTTGAGGTTTGTTCTGACCTTGGAGGGTGTCTATTAGTTCTCCTTTACCCTGATTCTCCTGGTAAACTAGTTGGCTTACTATTTATCTTGGGGCTATGCTGGAGTCCACCAGCCAGCTCTATCTGCTTTTCATCAAAATCTGTCTTGTTATTTGAGAGTGCCCGTGGGCTTGGAATTCCCTGGGCTCTGTTTCAGATAGAGTCAGTTCCTCTGGAGAGCTTTGGAGTCTCTGTTTTTATCAACTGCCTCGCCCCCATCAAAATCGAAACCCCTTCGCCAGAGCTGGTGGCGGGGACAGTGGCCCACTTGTCTTGGAGAGACACCCCTACTTTAAAAGCAGGGCACTGAGTGAGGATAGTTAGTCTGCTCTTCTCCGCTCACCTGTCCCAGCCTCGAGCCTCCACCCTGCCCCTGAACCAGGGCTGGGGCAGCCAGGGTCCCCTTCTCTCAGTCTGCGGCTTCTGGGTGAGCCTCTGTTCTCTGAGTGAGGACTGGGGAGAGAGGGAGCTCCTGGGCTTTCACCACATTTCCCAAGGGTGTAGCCTCTGCAACCTGGAATTGGGGGCAATAAGAAATTCTGTCTCTCCCAGGGAACTACTGTGTCCCTTTACTGGGAAGTCATGGGAGAAGCTGCTCATTTTGGTGACCATACCTGCCTAGATGGGAGCTTCCATAATCTTTCTGAGTTGAGGAGGAGGGGGAGGAGGAAGGGGAGGAGGAGGGGGAGGGGGGGGAGGAGGA